ACCTCCAGGGAGTGATAATTAAGCCTGGAACACAAAACATCCATCTCTTGACCTGCTCCGGGTGTAAAGGAAAGAACAGGAGGTTGGAGTGGAAAGCCAGTACTCCAGGTGTTCCTTAATTTTTTTTTTCTTTTTCTTTTTTGCTTGTTTGTTTTGCAGGGCTGGGGAGCAAACTGAGGGCCTTGTACCTATTAGGCAAGTGCTCTTCCCCTGAGCCCCAGCCTTGGCCCTGGTGTTTCTTAATTTGAATGATTCCTGCTGACAAGATCCACCACACCCCAACTGGGTATGGCTTGTGAGTCACTTCCTCTTCTGAGCCTCAGTTACCTTATCTGTAAAATGGGAAAAATGTTTATGCCTACGTTCCTGGGGCTGTGGGAACAAGATGAGGTCATGTAGGTGAAAGCTCTGTGTAAACTGCAACGTTTGGTGCACTTCACCAGGAAGAGGGAGAGCGTGGCGTCAGACGGGCCTTGGTTGGCAGCATGGCCCTGGGTAAACAATGCCTCTTCTCTGAGCACCAGAGGGTGTCTCTTCTGTGAAGGGCAACTATTAATAGTATCTACAACTCCCAGGCTTGTTTTGGAAATTAAATAAGGATTAAATGAGATAACATAAGTGTCTACAATAAGTGCTCAGCACAGGTTACTACTCAAACACACACACACACACACACACACACACACACACACACACACACACAGTCTTTAAAACAGACTGAATAACAAATTGTTCTCAGTCTGGAGAAGAAAACAGGCAGCCAATGAGCTCTTTCTCTAGTTTCCATTCTAAGAAAGGAACTCACTGGCTGGCATCCAGATGGTCACTGATGTGGAGGACTGTAGCCAAAGGCCAGCCTTCCACAGGGAGTTTCCAAAAAGTGTGAGTGCAGAGTTGTATAACCTGCCCCTGAGACGTGTCTCTACTTAAGTATTTTCAAAAAATATCCCTGAAAGGAGACCTGTGAGGGCACCGTAGCGCCTAAGGGCAGAGAAAGGGAGGGAGGAAGGGAGCTGGTGAATCTTGGGAGGGGGGCAGTGGGATTGGGAAGAAAGAGATCACCTTTATTGAGCTCCTACTATGTGCCAGGCTTAGGCTCAGTCTGTCTGATACCTAGTAAGATCCTTGCCATATATCTGAGAGCTTAGGTATTTCCACTCCCACATTCTTGGGGAAGAAATAATAACAATATTACTAATGTTTATTTAGTACCAACTGCTTGTCAGGAAGTGGACTAAGCACATATTTGATCTTCAGGGCAGCCCTTGAGGGTGCTATTTTGATCCCTACTTTATAGAAGAGAAAACCGTCTGAGACCCACAAGGTGAAATGACTTCCCTAAGGTCACCCAACAGGAAGTAACAGAGCCAGAATTTGAATCTAAGCCGGGATCCAAAGCCTGTGGTCCTACGTGAGAATATTTCCCAAGGGATTTATGGGGGTGGATCAGAAAATGACCCTATTAGGAGTTGTCCTTACATGCTCACAGTGGGGCCCCAATGTGGGAGTGACGTCAGTGACCAAATCATTCTCCTCCTTCCACCTGGAGGACAGTGTGTCCCGGCTTGTGACTGTCTGTCACTCTGCCTCTGACCTGAAGTTTAAAACTTCATTCAAGAGTTTGGAACAACAGACTTTGCAGCTTGGGAAGGGCCCTTGAGACACACCATGTTAGTCTATCCCCCCTATATTTCAGAAAAAAAAAGAAAAAAACAAAACAAAAAAACCCTGAAGCCCTGTGAGAGCCATGTACACGCCAAGGTCACAGAGAAATTTTCTGTTCAATGGAGGAATTGGTTTAAGTTCGACCACAGCTCATCTTGTTCTGCAGTTACCAACGTGGTTCTGATTCTGATTCACTTCTGATTCACTTAAGGAACTCTTTAAATATACAGATGTTTGCCTTGGGATGAGGCTCAGTAGTAGAATGCTGGCCTGGCATATGCCAGGTGGTGGGTTTGATCTCCAGTATTGTGAGGGGTCTCCGTTTGGTTTTTGGAGGTTCAGACTTAAGTTCGCAATGAAGCTTGGGAATCTGAATGTATAGTGCTCCAATATGTTCTGGGGAAATTCAAATGGCCATAGACTGCTTTAGGAAGTTGGAATCCAAAGTCCCTCTTTCATTTTATAGTTTGGGACCTAGCAAGTGTGACCCAGCACATTAGGACCTAGCAAGTGTGACCCCAAGGTCACAGAGCAAGTTGGTGGGACTCAGGTTTTGTGGTCTGAACCAGGATGTCTGTGGTCACAGTTTGCAGATAGGCCAAAAAGTTTTGCCAAAGGAACTTCTCTGGTTTTTCCCAGTTCTCAGTTTCCTCGTTGGGTTCAAATTAAGACATAGTATGGTAGACATTTCCCGGGTTCAGAAAGGCGGGACTCCAAGGGAAGTGGAAACAAGATCCTGCCGGGTCGGGTCGTGTCTCGGGGTTTTCCCAGAGGCAAGCTCAAAGCTCCAGGATGACATCAGACACAAGCTTTCCAAACAGCCCTAACTTCAAGGTCTAGGCTGTGTATTTTCATTGTAGGAGAACTGGGTAGGGAGAGCCTTCCCTGTGGGGGAGGAAATAGGGGTGGAGTGTGCCCAGCTGTGCAGTGATGGGGATGGACTCCAAGACAGGCCACACATTCCACCACCTGGAAGGAAGATGGAACCGCCCTTGGAAATTCAGTCAGACCTCTCCAGCACACTCCCTGAACCCCACTTCTTATCTCCCTGATCCTTCACCCCAGGGCAACCTGAGTGAAGGATTCCTGTTCCTTTTCTATTTCCCACCATTCCACCACCTATTTCATGGTCTCCTTCTTTCCACTGCTTTTCTTCTGGAGTGGATGTTGGTGTTTGGAGTCAGATGTCCTGAGTTTGAATCCAGCTGAGTTTCCTATAAGCTCTCTGACTTAGGTAGCCATGCCCCTTCTCTAAGCATTGGTTTCCTCACCTATAAAAAGGGGGATAATATTATACCTTCTTGGATTATGAGGATTAGACAAGATCATGTAGGCACTCAATAAACAGATGTTTTCTCACAAACACTAGATCATGTGAGTAATCCTAGAGGAATTTGAATATGTCTTTTGTGAAACAAATTGTGAAGAGAATGGTTCACCTGGAAACCAGGTCAGACATCTTTGGGCCTTAAAAACCCAAGTGAATTGTTTACAGTGTTTCCAAATGATAAGGGAAACCACATACTTACTCCCTTTGTCTTCCTTGTCTCCACTCTTGGGGATTGAATCCAGGGCCTCCTGCATGCTAGGCAGTTGCTCCCCCACTGAGCTACATTTACAACCCTTTTTATTTTTGAGACATGATCTGGCTAAGTTGCCTAGGCTGGCCTCAAACTCCCACTCCTCCTGCCTCACCCCAGTAGCCAGGATTACAGGTGTATACCACTGCACCCAGCACATACTCACTCTTGATAAAGTCTCAAGTTTCTTTACTTTTGTCTGGAATTGTATCAACTCAAGGTGATAACATATCACACATGTGTCTCTGATAAATTTTTTAAATGAGAAAATAATTAGTGGAGGGTAGATAAAATGTTGGAAAAATGTTAATCTTGACTAACTCCTAATTGCATAAACAGGGAAACTGAAGTTTAAAGAAGGTCACACAGCTAAGAAGTGATAGAACTGGCTTTGAAACCCTGGTTCTTTTCCTACAACCAGTTACTTCCCTTCTTTCCAACTCCAGAGAAAGGGAACCTAGGATCAATGAAGTTGAAGAGTTTTGGTTAGCTGGGGTGGAAATAAAGTGAGTCACCAATTTGCTATTGCCCTTTCTCTGTACTTGACTCATTTGACAAATATTTACTGACTGTCCACTATTCAGACTCAGAGAAAGCAGAGATAAAATAATCATGGCGGCAGGCAAGGTCAGAATTTGACTCTAGATATGACATCAGTACTTGTGCTTTCTGCCTCTGGGTATCACATTATAAAACACTCACTACTCTGTCATCTAAAACAGTCACAGTGTGTCTGAGAGCAGGCTAACTTTTTCCCCAGCATCAGGAAATCAACGTGTAATGTTTGAAAACTCTTTGAATTTTAATCTTAACTTTGCCCTTGGGCTTCTCCTGTCCTCTCTCCCGGCTCCCAACCACGTCCTCCATCCCCGGGCCTGTCACCCACCCCCAGCATGTGTGTGTCTGGTACTGGGGACTGAACCCAGCGATGCTCTACCACTGAGCTACACTCCCAGCCCTTTTTATTTTATTTTGAGACAGGGTCTTTTTAGGTCGTTGAGGGTCTTGATAACTTGCTGAAGCTGGCCTTAAACTTGTCATCCTTCTGCCTCTCAGTCTCCGAGTGCGTGCGCCACCGTGCCCGGTGCCACTCAGTTTTTGAGACAATATCTTGCTACCCTTCTGTGGCCCCTGATCACTTGTAAAACGGGAACATTGGCAAAATGATATATAGAACGTGCAGCTCCCCTCTCCCAACGCCAGTGCTTGGGATTAAACCCAAAGGTGCTCTACAATTGAGCATGAGCTACATCCCCAGCCCTTTTATTTTATTTATTTTTTGACAAGATCTCTTAAACTGCTCAGGCTGGCCTCGAACTTGAGAAACTCCTGCCCTCGCCTTCCTAATGGCTGGGATTACAGGCGTGTGCCCCGCTCTGCAAACTGTTTTCAATTTATCCTTGACTTTAAATCGAAGAAAACATTGAAAACCTGAGATAAAAAATAGTTACTGTTTATCATTTCGCTAGCACACACACCTTCTCCCCGCTCTCTCTCGGCCGTCCCGTTTCCCTTTCCCCAGTCGCTCTCCTTTTTCTCCAGCTTCCCCTCAAGAGGGCACGCAAGCTCCACAGCTTGGGTGCCTCACTTCCGTTCGCCTTCATCCTTCCTTCTGCGCATGTGCCCCGCTCCTTTCCTGGCTGCCTTTACCCTCTAGGTGGTTTCGGGAAAGGTGGCACATACTGCGCCTGCGCACTCTTAGTCCGGCCCTCTCCGCCTTCATCCCCGGAAACGCTTCCTTCCCACGAAGCATCTACAGCCCTTCGGGTCGCTGGGTCTTTGCCTCTCTAGGCCGTAGGGCCTCTCCTCCATGGTTCTGTCTGTCAGTCGGGTTTTGGGAACCGGCGGATGAGGCCACGCCACGCGCGGATGCTTCATCCTTGAGTCCGTCACCGGTGAGTGAACCCCAGAAGAGTGTGTGTGCGGCGGAGGCCGAGCGGCCGGCATGGGCAGGACCTCCCCTCACTCTGGGAATGGGTCTGTCCGCCCCGCCCTCCCCCCAACTCCCGGAATGGGCTCGCCCCTCGGTCCCAGTCCCTCCTCCAGGCCCCGCGGCGTTGCCAGGGCGACGGCCTGCCGGCTGAGGCCCGGCGTGTGTCCCCGCAGGTGGCGGGGCGGCCCGGGGCCCATGGCGCGGCGGTGCTGACAGAGGCGCGGGCGGCGGCCGGGCCGGAGGGCCGGCATGGCGGGCCAGTTCCGCAGCTACGTGTGGGACCCGTTGCTGATCCTGTCGCAGATCGTCCTCATGCAGACTGTCTATTACGGCTCGCTGGGCCTGTGGCTGGCGCTGGTGGACGCGCTAGTGCGAAGCAGCCCCTCGCTGGACCAGATGTTCGACGCCGAGGTAGGGTCCCCGGGCGGCGCGGGTGGGGTCTCGCCACACCGAGTAGCTCTGTGGACCGCGTTCCCGCTTCGTGGCCCTCGGGAAGGGCTTTTACCCTTCAAAGTCTCAGCTGTCTCATAGGTGACATGGAATGACAGACGACAGGCAGAGAGGGGAAAAGGAAAGGGCCTGGATAGCATCGTAAATAGGCCTGCGTCCCAGGCCACTCTATGGGTCTCCTCCCTGAGTCTCTGAAACCAGATTCCCAGAGCCCATCCTGGGGAGAGGAGTGGATGAAAAGGCATTCTTGGGGTTTCAGTGGAAACTGCCTAGCCTTTGGGTCATAGCTTCCATTTAAGTTCCACTTTACTTGCTGTGTGACGTGGGGCCAGTGTTACCTTTCTGAACTTGCTTTCATGTCTGCAAAATCATGAAACTGTTATCGGAGAGCATGAATTTCAGTACAGAGATCCTGTACTTAAGAGTCCAATCTAGGCCCAGACATGTCAGCTCTGGGAACTTGGGGAACTTGCTTCACTTTTTAGAGCCTTTTTGTTTTCCGGAAAGTGGGCAAAATAGTCCGACCATGTCACTCTCAGTAAAACGTTATGAAGCCCAGAGGAGCCTAGAAATAAGTACTTTATAAAGTAAAGGAGGCTGCATCTGAGAAGCAGCTATTGGTGTATGGTAATGAACACAGGTCATCACCTTTGCTCAGCCAGGAGACCTGGCCTGAGTTCTTGCCCCTGATGCATACTCTTTGCATAGCCTGTGGGCAATTTATTATTCTGATAGATGTAGTAATAATAACAGAGGCTTTTAGCATAGTGACCAAGATCTCAGGCTTAGAGGCAGACTCACCTGAATGAATCTCAAGGTTTTTATAAGGATAATATGAGATAGTGGATGTCATGGGCCTTTCTCCGTAAGCTGAAAGTGTGGTAGAGATATTTGGTCTTCATTAGTGTGTGTCAAGGGTAGCAGAGGTTCATACCTACCAGGCACAAAGTAGTAACCTTGTAGGAGCCTTCATTCTAGGAAGGGCACGTGGAAATCCTAGGCTGTGTTGAAGAGTCAACTGATGTGCACAGCCTGAGTTCTAGGTCAGGGGTCAGCAAACCTTTTGGAAATGGGGAGGTAGTAAATATTTTAGGTTACAACTACTCAGCTCTGCCACCATAGTGCAAAAGCAGCCAGAGATGATAAGTAAGCGAATATCTGAGGACTGTGTTTCCATAAAACTTTATTTACAAAAGCAGGTGCTTCACCTGTGGGCCAATGGTTTGCTGAACCTCTTTTTCAATCTATTGTATCATTTTGGGCAATTTAACTCTTTTGAGCTTTTATGTACTGCTCTGTAAACTAAGAATAGTAATTCCTTTCTTGCCTACTGTGAAGATCAAATGAGGTACCATAATGGATGTATAAAAAAGAACCTTGTTGGAAATAGTCTGTTGAACAGTCTAGTCAAAGTGGGAATTGTCCTTGTGTGCTTTGGGAATAATGCTTGTGCCTTAGGAGACCTGCTGAGATCCTAGAGCCTGGGGCTCTGCCAAGTCACTTCTCCAGCATATTTCCATTTGTGATTCCCCTCAGATCCTGGGCTTTTCTACCCCTCCAGGCCGGCTCTCCATGATGTCCTTCATCCTCAACGCTCTCACCTGGTGAGTATCACCAGTTTTATTATCCAGCTTTGGGGGTCTTAGCACTGGGACTAACTTCCTAAATTTGGACATGAGACATGCTGGCACTTGATCCTAGGGAGTGTGGACTGAAGTGGGTGGCAGAGATCAGTTCTGGGATTAATTCTATCAGGGAACTCCTTCTGTGGCTGTTTTGACTTAGTTGCAAAGCTCTTGTCACTATGTGTGCTGCCTGCATGATAGCTTCCATCTCAGATTACTTTCCTGATATGGCATGAAGTGAGGAGAGGGTTAGACTGGGAGTCAGGAGAACTATCTATCCATCCTTGGTCCCTGTGCCATTGGCCTAGTTACTTCCCTCCTCTCTGAGCCTCAGGCTCCTTATCTGTACACAAGGAGTTGGACTCAGTGACGTGTAAGGTCACTCATGACCACTGCCCGTCTCTTGAGAGTGGTTTAGTGTAGTGATCAAGATCTCAGGCTCAGAGGCAGACTCACTTGACCGAATCTCAGCTTTACCACTTTGGAAAAGTTAAATCTATCTAAGCCCCATTTCCTCAGGGGCTAATAACATTGCCTGCCTCATAGTTGTAAGGATCAAGTGAGTTAATTCACAGGAAAAACTTAGATTGATGCCTTGTACGTTGCTATTATTATTGACCTTACACTGGAATACTTGAATACTGCTAGGCTAATTTTGAACTAAATTTGTCTCCCACATATTTTCTGTTTGGCTTATACAGAGGTCAGCCCACACATGAAGTTTAACACATTTTTTCACTTAGTTGAATGTCAATATGTTTTATAAAAGTGCAGATTTATGGCTTCTCTTGAATAATGGGAAGATGGATTGCAGGCTACCCTTCTAGTATGGTAATGTTTGCCTAAATGCAAGTAGCTTTTGTCTCCTATTAAGCTAGAACATGTATAGTTTTAGGATGCACCACCATTCCCTAGCTTCCTTCTGACAGTTGCCATTTATCATCAATCTCCTAGTTTTATTTTCTTCTATTTAGTGTGATTCACTCTTGATGTTACCTACCAGGTTCCTTTAAGCATCTAATATTGTAACACTTGCTTCACACTTAACCTTGCTCGCTTCTGACCACTATGCTGCCATCCTAATTTTTCCCTATCCCCCAAATAACCTAATCTAAGGCCAGGACAACCCAGTGACAACTCACTGCTGTCCTCTCCCAACAGTGCCCTGGGCTTGCTGTACTTCATCCGGCGAGGGAAGCAGTGTCTGGATTTCACTGTCACTGTCCATTTCTTTCACCTCCTGGGCTGCTGGTTCTACAGCTCCCGTTTCCCCTCGGCGCTGACCTGGTGGCTGGTCCAAGCCGTGTGCATTGCACTCATGGCTGTCATCGGGGAGTACCTGTGCATGCGGACGGAGCTCAAGGAGATCCCCCTCAACTCAGCCCCTAAATCCAATGTCTAGAATTGGGCCCTTTGGACACTCTACTGGCACTTGGGCTCCCCAACTTGGGCTAGTCAGACCTTCTGGATGAGGTCCAGCCCAGGTCTGAGAGGAACCCTGGAAATGTGAAGTCTCTGTTGGTGGAGAGATAGTGAGGTCCCGTCAAGAAGGCAGGTAGCAGTCAGGATCACAACTGCAAGAATGGCCTCTGTCTGCTGAAGCCTTGGTATCTGGGAGGTCAGGAAGGGGACCTCTTTGAGGTCATATCAGATTTGGAACCATGTCACTCTTGAGCCATCACACCTGTCACCAGCCTATTGTTTTAAAAAAAGAAAAAAAAATCAAGGATATCTGATTGGAACAAACCACTCTTCTAGTCATCTGTCTTACCCCTGGACAGCTATTACCTTTGCCATGTTGCGGAACTACAGTGATTCTTTTTAGAGCAACAGATTTCTGGAGCCATAGCCACAGAAAGAGATCTAGTGCAAAGTACTATGCTACTGTCAGGGAGAGGGCGGCAGACGCAGACATCAAGCGCAAGGAGAATGCAAAGCCTGTGCCCTGTTACACACATACATGTGTGCACCCAAGAACCCATGATTAATTTCCTTCAAGTTCCCACTCCTGGGTCCCCACCCTGATGCCAGCCTTCCTCAAAGCAGTCATAGGACCCAGAGAAGAATCCCATCATCACTTCCAGTCTAACTCTCATATTTGGGGTCACTGCCTGCTCTCTAGGAATGACCAGGTTCCCAAGCTCCTACTGGATCTCGGTACTGGCAAGAGTTCCTTTTTCCTGTATTATTTGGAATTCTCTGGTGGGAAGGGCATGGTGGGTGCCCAGCTTTAGGAAGCCCAACTTTCCAGCCCAGGCTATGCTGATAGTGCTGAGGCAGATAAAAATTTGCTGCTAAGATTTTTCTTTGGGGTAGAATTTCCTGTGAGGGGCTTGCAGCTCTCCTTCCTGTGTACAGAAATACAGTATTTTCCATGGTTCCGTCTGTACTTCCTTTGTAATGCGTGGTTGGAACTGAGATAGATGAATAGCTAGGCAAAGGATCTACAAAGAATTGTTAAGTTACCTTATCCTTTCCTGGACCTTCAGGTTATTCCTCCAATTGGTTAAAATATGAAACATGCAGGGAACTCTGCCTCACTCCATGTCCCCACCTCCCACACCTGTAGTTCCTTTTACTATGCCTCTGGTTAATTGCCATGACTCTTGAGACTTCCCCCCACCCCCTCTTGCTGCTCTTTTCTGAACATGTGCAACAGAGCAACACCATTTCTGCACTGAAACCATCAGTGTTCTTTGATTTCTCTGGATTTTGCCCAAGAAAGCTGTCAGGGTTTAGCTTTTAGTATTAGAGTTACATAGAAAAGTTTTGTTTCTCTAGGAGCCTTTCTAGCCTCCTGGCTCTGAGCCTTGTGTAGGGAACCAAACCTTACAGGGGCAAACATGCTTGGGTGGAAGCTGGGAAAGTGCTAGAGTGAGGCAGCTCAAGAACTCAGAGTGCTGTGGCCAAAGTGGATGGAAGCAGCTTGTTACTGGGGCATAGTAATCCTGGCTGCAGAGTCCAGGAAGTAAGACCAGGGATTGGTGGATTTCCCTCTAGAGACCACAAATTCTACAGGCATGTGACTAACTTTTTGAAGGGCTTCAGACACACCCCATGTGGCAGCTCTCTCCCTTGATGAGCTGTGGTGGCTGTTGCTGCCGCTGTGGTTGGACCACCTCTTTAGGATTTCCTTTGAGGACTGGTGCCACTTTTTTTCTGCATATCTTCTGTGATGACATGTCTTTGTCTCTTGAGTGCTACTTTAACTTGGAAAATGCCCCAAATCAGGAGAACCAGTCCCCCTCTCAAGAATATTGTAACCAAGTTGAGTGACAGGGATCAAAAATATGTGACTTTAAGCCAGACACAGTGGTACATGCCTGTAATCCCAGCTACTCTGGAGGCTGAGGCAGAAGGACTGCAAGTTTTTAAGGCCAGCTTGGGCAACTTAATGAGATTTTAAGAAAAAAAAAAATGGCTGGGTATGAAGCTCAGTGGCAGAGCATCTAGAAGGTGTGAGTCTCTGGGTTCCATCCCTAGGCCTCCCCCCCCCCCAAAACAAAAACGAAAACATAAACAAAGTCACCTTAAAAGAGTTTTACAATTGTAAGTAACAAAAAACAATTTCTGGAACTAAGTTCCAGAGGACTGAGCAAGGCAGTGATATGTTTGTCATCTGAATAATGTATTAAGTACTTAATAGGTATCCAGGAGTGAGCTAAGGGCGATGTCTCCTTTCTCAATCTTCCCAACAACCCTCTAAAGTAGGAAATATTATCATCTGTATCTTATGTATGAGGAGACTGTTAAGAACTTACACAGGGTTACATTTTAGGAGCTGGCAGTATCAGGATTTGGGCTCTGGTAGTAACATTATTAAGCATCATTTTGATTGGTTAAACAATCACCTTATAAGCATACCTCACCATCCCATTGTTTTAAATACTAAGGATGAATAGTGCTTTGTAAACATTACTTTCTAAGAAAAAACTGATAGGCAGTGTACTAAATATGGCCAGAAGTTTCCCAAGTGGTTCTAGAAATGTAGAAAATGTCTTTATTTCCAAATTATAAAGGATAGTACCGAGGTCACAAAGCTATCTCCCTCCTATTTCAAGTTGATAATCATGACTTTCTACTTTCTAACCATTCAGAGAGAAAAGTGGACTGTTGCATAATTGCTTAGAATAGTTTATAACTCTGAAGGAGGATGGGAAAGGAGAAAGTGATGTCTGGCTCAGAGGGCACCTCTAACCCCTTGCTGTAGGCAACCCTGTCCAAATCTGAGTCAAATGGGAGCCAGGATGGTAGTCAAAACATATCTGGGAGTGGAGATTGGTGGGAAGCTCCAGGTGTCCCTAAGTTCTGGTGGTACATAGCTCAAACAGGCTGTCCTAGAAGTTGAGTTTCTTGGTCTCCTTCCTCTGACTACCAGATCAGAGGCTTTTGGAGGAGAGAGCAGTCAGCAATCAGGTATGAAATATCTCCCTGTACCTGTAGCACAGGGACCACAGATATTCTGGGGCGGGCTTCTGGGAACCCAGAGCAGGAGGAGTAGGGGTGGACTCAGGGTACCAGAAGAGCCTGAGGGTTTAGAAGCCACATCTTGCTCAAGGAAGCTAAGCCATGTCCTGCCTCTGCCTGGGCAAGTCGGTGTTATAAGGATCCAGTGCTGGAAGACTTTAAAGAGCAGCAGTGGAGTGCAGGGTTAAGTCCTGGAATCCTCATTAATAGCTGTGAGATCTTGGGTAAGACACCCAACCTCTCACACTACCTCAGTTTCCTCATTTGTAAAACGAGGGTTAATTGTAGTCATCCCTCAGTGTCCATGGGAGATTGGTTTTAGGATCCCCAAGGTTATCAAATTCTGAAGATGTTCATCTCTTTTACAGAATGGCTCAGTAAAAAAAAATAAAGGGGAAAATAGCATATTATTTGCACATAAACTACATTCCTCCTGTTGTATACTTTAAATCATCTCCAGAGTACTTACAATTCCTAATACAATGTAAATGTTATGTAAATTGTTGTTATACTATAGGGAAGGATCTGTACATTTTCTTTTTTTTTTTTAAAGGGAGAGTGAGAGAGGAGAGAGAGACAGAGAGAATTTTTAATATTTATTTTTCAGTTCTCGGCGGACACAACATCTTTGTTGGTATGTGGTGCTGAGGATCGAACCCGGGTCGCACGCATACCAGGCGAGCGCGCTACCTCTTGAGCCACATCCCCAGCCCCCTGTACATTTTCTGTATGAACTCAGTATTGTGTTTTTTCCCAAGTAATTTTGGACTACAGTTGAATCCATGGATTTGTAATTAGTAGGCTATTGCTTACCTCTCCATTTTACATAAGTGGACAAGACTTTCTTCTGAGCCTGTGTTATCTAATGTTAGATAGGTGGCTGGCTTGTCTGTGATATATAGGTGCCATCACCAAGTATTGAGCTGTTTGTGCCATACCCTGCAAGTGGTTAATTTATATTCCTGTTTAATCTAATGAAACAGGCACCACCATTCCCTGCATTTTGCAGGCAACATTTGAAGATTAGGGAGTAAACAGCTTTCCCCAACAGGGGCTGCAGCTGTAGCTCAGTGGCAGAGTGCTTGCTTAGCACATGTGAGGCACTGGTTTTGATCCTCAGCACCACCTAAAAATAAAGCATGCTGTCCATCTGCAAAAAAACAAAACAAAATAAACCCCACAAACGAGCCATGTCTGCCTCAAAGGCCTCATCCTCTTCACATTTCAGTTGTTTGAACTTACCTGGTCCAAATAATTGGGACAGTATTGGAATCCAGATGCCACTTTAGCAAAATGTTGTGAATGTGAACATAAGTTTGGCTTGTTAACAATCATCTAGTTCTCTAAAAGCTGACAAGTAAGATGCTTGAAAGCAAGAAAAAGGGTCAGTACTAGCCTCAGGGTTCATTATGGTAAAGGGCCCGGGAGAAAGTTTGGGGAGAGGCCTAACATTTGGTTCAATACCTGGCTTCATGTATTGACCTATTCAAGTTGAATAGGTATTCAACTTGAATAGGTCAATACCTATTCAAGCTGGCTTTACCTACCTAAGCCTGATCCACTTAAGACCCTCTGAAATGGATATTAGTATCCCTATTTTAAAAACAGATAAAATAGTCTCTGAAAGCTCATGTGACTTATTAAACATCAATATAAGTTTAGATTCAAAAATTTAGTTTTCCCTCCTGTCCTGGTTAACTGTTTGGGAACCATTTGTGAGATATCTTCCTTCCCAAATCAGGATCTCACAGAACTCAGAAGAGCCTCAGACTAAAGTGGTTAAATAAGAGGGTTGTGGTGGGGAGATCCCAACTGTGGGATTGTGAGAAGCAGGTTGTCAGAGGCATAAACGCCAGGGGAGGTGGGGGTAAGGCTGGCAGGTACACTGCTGCTGGGAGTTACTCTTCCCCAGGACTTGCAGGTTTTGCTCTCCTGGCCATGCTGGATCCCGCCCTCAGCACACAGGCTCCCCTGTGCTGGGTGGCTCTTCTTGGGCAGGTGGGGACCAACTGCTTTCTGTGGAGCAAAGTGAGAGTTGCCAGTATTGCCTAGGTCCACCCTATTTCCCTACTTGGGCTTCTACCTGGGGTCCCCTAGGCTATGTAGGGAAAGGGGAGGAGCAGAAAGGGTTTGGAATTTCTGTTTGGGTGCTTGGTGCCCTGACTGCCCACTGATGGCAGCTCAATCCTAAAATTCATTCAGAGGTTGATGGATCAGGTGCCTGGGAAGAAAGATTGAGTAAAGGTTATTTTCCAAGGTTGATGGGATTGATGGTGGAC